GAAAACATTTTGAATAAACGGTAAAATACGAGATGACCAACATTTTCATCGTCATTTTTACTTTTTATACCTCCTGCTTGAAAAGCGGGAGGGTTTAGTAATCGGTATGTCCGTCCGTCCGTCTGTCTGTTACGCGTTGGGGTACCCATCTTTTATCTGCAACTCCTCTTATACTACTGAGTGGTATTTAATGAAACTTTCACGGAATCTTTATTACATATTGCCATTGTGCACCTCCTATTTTACTTTTTGATCAGACACATATTTTGGTTTTCCCGTCCACAGCAAAACATGGACTTTGCGATTATAACCATATAGAAGGCAGGGGGTATCATTTAGTGAGCCGACATATTTTGGGTTTCCCACAGCAAAACATTGATACTGCCATTATATTCATATAGGAGGCGGGGGTATCATTTAGTGAGCTCATTGCTCACAGTACCTCTAGTTTATATAAATATCCCGCGATGCGATCTCCTCTTGCTTATAGTGCCTTTGGCTCTTATCTTATTCGATATCAAAAAGCATGGTCTGAGTGCGATTGATTTTTTTTTATCATAGGAAGGCTACTGCATGACAAATGAGTTGATGTTACAGGGATTTCAACAACCTCGTTTAAAACCAGCATTCATATATGCATAAATATATATATATATATATTCGACCGTGTCTTATCATTTAAATTTTACTAGAAAAAAACATTAATTTTTATGCTAATAAACGTAATGACTCCACTTTCAAAATGTACCTTACTTGTATAGCAACATGTACCTTATTATCATCAGATGGAGTTTATAATCTCTCTGGTTGATTCGAAATGCAAGAGGGTGCTTTACGTACAATTTCTACAAAGATGCAAACAATTTACAAATAAGATGAGGAAAAAAGAAAACGCACAAGCTCATCTAAAGCCATCATTTTTCAAATTCTATCGATACAATTATAACCTTGTCATCAAATACAATCTACCATTTATAATCAAATGCTGACTGACGTTTTTTACACTGATTGTTAGGTCGTTATTTACACGCTTAATTATTGTCAACTATTTTTCCATCATTTCCGAATCAAGATGCATACCGTGGGTGTGTCAGATCGGCAGGGGATGCTCGATTCTAAATACCACGTGTTCCTAAGATGTTTTAGAGACTTTCTGTGTTAACTTTGTTCCTGATTTGTATCATCTGAATTAACTTTTGAGCTTGGATACTGTTCGTCGAACACCATGTATATGTTGAAGTGATTTGAAAGTCCCAACCACATTATATTGAGAATTTTACCCTCGATATCTCAAAGTTTTTTTCTCTGTCCCATCAAGTTCGAGATTTTGAGATTTGACTGTAATCTCTTGTTGAGAATTGATGTGGATTTTTTTTTATGAATCAAAAACATATATTTATTAATTTTTCTTTTTTTTAAACATCAAATGATAAAAGTTTTTGTCATGAATAAATATGACCGTCCTCTTAATGAAGTGTTTCGTTTGTTTGTGTTAGGTCGTATAGTTCAGATATGAAATATATTCCTGTCATTATGAATGACTGAAAAAGGGAAAATAATTTTCTTTTAGAAAAAGTAACTTGGGTATGGAGAAAACAAACTGTTCTCAAACTCAAAAATCCATTAAAAAATACAAATTACGAGCAGGGCAAACACGGTCCTCTAGAGTACCAGAGGTGGGATCAGGTGTCACGGAGGAGTGAGCATTCTCTGTTGACCCGTCACATCCGCCGTTTAAACAAAACGAAAAGTGAACAGGGCAAAGTAACGATCAGATACCTAGTAAGTGAAGGGTATGGAGATAACGAACAGTAATCAATCTCAAAGTCCATAAAACAATACAAAATAGGAGCAGAGCAAACACGAACCTCCGAAACATCAGAGGTTGGATAAGGTGCCATGGAGGAGTGACCATCCCCTGCTGACCGGTCACTCCCGCCATGTACTCCTTGTCATGATCGGGAAATAACGGAAAAATCCGTCTTCAGTTCAGTGTATAAATAATGGACTAACAATAGTATGAAAAACGTCAGTCAAGTAGTCATTTATTGTATTCCATTGAATGTGAAATAAACATGTAGTAAACTACATGTACATGTATAGTCAAAAATTAAAACAATGGAAATTATTGTTAAGTAAAGTTATAAGTCTGGCATAATGGACATTTAATTGAAATAATGATAATTTTTAGAAAGTGGAAATTATAGTTACACGTACCTTTAGTTACTTTGAAAATATAAAGTTGATATTTCTATAGTGTTCTGATAACTTTGCATGAGAATTTTCTACATAATATAGTGGTAAGTTGTAAACTTTGAGCTAATATGTTTTTATTAGTTTGTAAACTCTGATTTGTTATTGATAATAATATAAAAATACTGAGTGCTAATTTATAAATTATAGTAAATATTTTATAATATAAAACACAAAGTAAGATACATTGGTTGAAATTCTGACCAATAAGAGATAACTTCACGGAAGGGAAAATTAATAGTATATTAAACATTCGTCATATATATTGGATTTCACAACAAAAAATATATAGAAAAACAATTAATTTATGAAAGTTTTTCTAAGCTTCCGTCGGCAATGTAGACGGCTTTTACAAGTACGTTTATCTGTACTAAAAACAAGTTTTTAATTTCCAAAAGTGCATTGGTTTTACAAGTATTACTTCAGCTGGTCATTTACACGTAGTAATTGAAAATTAAATACATTTAGTTTTTAATTTCCAAAAGTGTATTGGTTTTACCAAAAATACTTCAGCTGGTCATTTACACGTAGTAAATGAAAGTTAAAAACATTTAGTTTTTAATTTCCAAAAGTGTATTGGTTTTACCAGCAGTACTTCAGCTGGTCATTTACCTGTAGTAATTGAAAATTAAATACATTTAGTTTTTAATTTCCAAAAGTGTATTGGTTTTACCAGCAATACTTCAGCTGGTCATTTACCTGTAGTAATTGAAAATTAAAAACATTTAGTTTTTAATTTCCAAAAGTGTATTGGTTTTACCAGCAATACTTCAGCTGGTCATTTACCTGTAGTAATTGAAAATTAAAAACATTTAGTTTTTAATTTCCAAAAGTGTGTTGGTTTTACCAGTAATACTTCAGCTGGTCATTTACACGTAGTAATTGAAAATTAAAAAACATTTATTAGTCCTACAAAGGTGAAAATTGATATTAAAGAGCTATAGCGCTACAGGTGAATTTTGCTTCCAAACTTTGAAGACTGTAATATTGTTTGTTCGACGGGGGGACAAATTTACACCACAAGTAAAGTGTTAATTTATTAATTTCCTCCTCGGTTCCTATTGGTTATCGATTTGTTCCTCACTTCCGATTGGTTAATTGATTTCCCTTGGATTTGATTCCTTACTCCTAGAAAAGGAATTAAAGCTTCGTAGACCGCCACAGCCAAAAATCCCCTCTCTGTCCATTTAAAGGAAACTAATACCGATATACCTGTACACATCTACTGTAGTTCAAACCAAAAAAATAATAATAATAAAACTACGATAAAGTGCGTGTTAAAGAACGACCTCACTATTTACATATTTTATATAGAGAAGTAAGATTTCATTATATCAGATTATAATAGTAGAAAATCCCTTTTCATATTACATGTAGGAATGTGGTAATTTAAAGGGTTGTGAAGGTCAAATGACAAAAACCAACTTCTATAAGCATTTTACACATGTGATATAAATGTAACATATATAATAAACTGCTATGATGTTAATTTTACTTATGATATGGTTTACTGGTATATGTTCTTTCTTCCTTTTGCAGATTTCAAATACAAGGCATTTTTTTTTCTATGTTACGATGTCTTGAAATGATGGTATGTTTTTTAATGTGATTGTAGTGCCATGTGTCTTTGTAAGTTAAATCTGAATTTATTTCAACTATTTGACAGCTTAAGGAATGCTAGGACCAACAACTATTTGGTCATACAAAAGTATCTTAATGGTATAGAGTCACGTGTAGATTGACCTGAGACAATATTAAAATAAAAGACAAATAAGCTTGAGTTTTTTGAAACTTTTTTTGCTCTTCTTTAAAACAAAAACAATCTGTAAACTTGTTGTTATAATAAGGTTAACATTAATAAACTAAAGTTGTTGGTGTGTTTTGAGGAAACAACAAGGTGCGATGTTAATTTCATTTTGGAGAAATAACAACAAAGATTTATGTTTGTTTTACAAGGTATAAAATATAATTACTTTATTTGTTGGTGAAACGACATAAGATAGTTTACTGATTTGTAATAAATGTAATGAATATGATATTCTTGTATTTTAAAAATTCCACATGTCAACTCAAAAACAGGTGTATAGTTTAAGAAGAGGAAATGAATACAAGTACTCTCAGTACACTATAATGTGAATAAGAGATAGAAATCAAGTATAGATACATGTACTATCGGTGTTATATGAATTAACAGATTGTCAATTGATTTTATGAGATATTACTACATGTAACAACTCATAGTTTATTGATGGGTTATTTGCATTGATTTTTTTTGTTATCTGTATGATATCAAACTTCGTAGAAAGTCAAATATTAATTTTGTTATCGTGTTTGCAAATCTCCCTTGTGCAAGCCATGTAGTTAATATCAAATTTAGATCTTAACCAATTACTAAATCCATTCGATCGTCAATTACAAATTGTATAATGTCAAATATATGATTTTAAAAGAAATACATTTTTCTTTTTATTCAAGATCGGACTGCTTAAAGATTTTCAGAAACCCTGATCTTTAGGTTCCAGGGTAGCTTTCTACATGCGTTGCCTGAGTTAAATAAGGCTTCAATTCCTCTTTGTTATTTCATTAATGCCAGCCACAAACACATCTTTTCCGTGATAATTGTCCATAAGCAAACTACATGTCTTTGGTGCGACAACGTGAGGCCACTAGCGCCGTTAAGCGCCGTCTAATTGACACGTAACTGTTATTAGACATTTACTACGACTCGCTGTTCCGACCTGCCCAGACTGCGGAGTTCTCCGTAAAAAGTAATTAATATGGATTGAAAGCTCGGATTCAGTGGCGGAGTTTGAAAACTTATCTCTCCAAGCAAGGCTAGTGGGATTGCCTGGAGTGAACACAAGTAATTCCTGCTGACCGGGAGAATCGGACTTGTTTGCCATCCAAGATAAAGTCCAATGATCAATAGCATGGTTTGCTTTATTACTTGTGTGGAGGAGACGTTAAAATCCCTCTCCTATTGAATTACATTCATACATTGCTGTGTTCCGAAATTCAAACTTATCGATCTGTAGCCACAAGTGATGCAGTATATGTACATAAATATACGAGTGTAATTGAAAAAAAAAAAGAGCCCCCCGAAAATATGACACAGATGTTACTTCGGGATTTCAGTGAAATTCACGGATGTGAAAGGAAAAACAGATATCTGGAAATTTAGTCAATGGGTTAAAATTTTATGTCCAGAAATCTGAATAGAATAAGCATTTGGATATACGCATGGCCACTCCATAAGATCTCGACCGACAAGTTTCTTCAGTCAGAAAATAAACAGAAGAGATAGATCAACAAGTTCTTTGAAGCGCGCATGCGCTTCTGATGCGAGTAATTGCTGGGAATGTTAAGATGGCGACTTACTTATATTTCGATATTCAACATGTGTTAAATTTGTCGTGTTCTGTGGAATATTACTTCTAAAAGTGTATTGATGATTGGAAATTATCAAACAAGTGTTGAGTGAGTTAGTTATGTCTTTTATTCCCAGTCTGCCCTTGTTTTATTGGAATGCAATCGGTTTTCAGCAACTCGCAAGAGGATTTTTTATTCAATCTATCGGTGGAGGCTATTCTGGTCAACAAAACAGCGACCATTTAAGAAAGGTAATGCCAAATAGTGAAGAAAGTGTGTTATTTAAAAAGGCAAAAACAAATTCTTTTGGATAAATGTAGTCAGGTACAGAAAAAAAAATCTTTCATGCTTTTCCTAAATTTTCTGAAAGTGTGCTCTTTTTCTGAACTATGATATTAAGCTATGAAGATGGGAATACGTCATATGTTAAGCCGAACATTCACAAACCGAACGTCTGGGCAAAGTGTTCATACACTCAGTGTGTTATCCTTATAACAACCATTATGGTGTTTACAAAAGCCTGTCTTGGCTCGGGTTTTCCTGAGCTCTCCGTTTGCGGACCAGTATATTATTCGAATGTACATTCTAAAATCAAGAATCAGTGCCTTTTTCTTGATAGACAATTTATACAAGATATTTGTGTCGATAAGAGGACGCTCCGGCCCCCCGAGACCCACTTAAAATTTTGCAATATGTACACTCTCAACCATTTAATACCTCAGAATGAATCCGCGAGATGGATGGGGAACAGTGAATGTAACCAAACTCTGGTAGATCTGATGGGAAACGACAACAATGCTTTTGAGGAGTTTCAACTGTTTGAAAGTCTGTTGGAGCGAGTCGACTGTGATACTGTGTACTCCGTCAGGTGGAGCTGCAGCGTTTGTAGGGTGAGTCTTATAGCCATTTTTTTTTTATCCTTTGAAAACATCCTGGTTAGAGATATCAATAATTTGTAACTGGATCCGCCACTTGATTTATTTACATAAATCGGAGATTTACTTGCCTCGAGGAAATCCAGCTGACCATCAAATCAGTAGCACAACATCTGGCAATGTAGCCAAATTATTCTAAATAGCACTTTATCTCCTTGAGGGCTCGTCTCAGGAGTCAAATAATCTGATAACTGTGAGCACTGGCTGACATTAACGGGGCTTTAATAACTGCATGTTATACCGCTATATTATGATCGACCTATTTCACTGGTGAGTATATGTACAGTGTATCATAATGTTGGAATTTGTGGAACACGTGCGCTCTCTCAGTTAAAAGTGAGTATAAAATGAGAATAGCCCAATCCTTCTCGATCGTGTGCTCATCTGTTCATCATTCGCTGTCTACATGAAAGCCCGCATGTGCCCTTATCAGATTTATCATGATACGTCAAGGTTTTTTGAAAAAAAAGAGAGAAAGGCTGTTGCTAGCTTATATTAATTATTATACCTACCAATAACGCTTTCAAGCCTCCCCCGTTGTAAATGAAACAGGAGCAAGCTCGATAAAAAAAGAGACTTTAGGTTTTTTGTTTTACTGAAAGACTTTCTAGAATTCTAGTTGTTCCACTAATTAATTAAATATTTTAATATTTTATGATTATGTTAAGCATTTGTTTGAATCAATTAAAAACCGATTTGTAGATCAAATAGAGCCTTAGTTTGAACGATAATCCGTGCTGGAAAAAATACACATAGACATTATAGCTCATGGATAAAACATTTATTGAATATTCCCTCTAGCTTCCTTGTCTTTTTGACAAGCTTCTTAAACGAATTATTCGCGGGTCTTAAGCACTCTTAAAATTACTTCTTAGAAAAGCTGTTACCGATCTTGAAATTTATTAACTTGATTCAATAAATTGGATTATAACGGTCATTTTGATTTCCAACGAGTGTTTTTGGATTTGATGTACGTTTGAACTCGTGCATTTCAAGACATGGGGGGTTTCTATAATGCTTCCCTTTGGTCTCGACTACATAACAAATTAACTGAAGACTTATTCCTCGGTAATTAGAGAATTAGTAGTTCCCCGCTGTATAATTATTGGCTGATTAAATGGACCAATAAATGCTATTCTATCATGGCCTTGACAGAAGACTGTCGTGGAGTGCTGTCAGATGCCATATTTGGGTGATTATTTATTATTGCATCTGAAACTGAGGACATTTCCTCTTCGGACTTCCCAGTATGACGAGTTTTTAATAAAGTGATAGGGATATAAATCATTGTGTATTTTATAGAAATAATTTGTTTATAAGGTTAATATTTCAGCATCTTGATATAAAGGTGTCTTTTGGGGGGCAAAAGGTGGCAATTTCAAAGCTTAATACATTCAATATACATTAGGGAAAAAAAGTAAATTATAATTAGTCTTTAAAGTGATAATTAAAAAAAATACAACTCGCATTAATTATGAATTTATACGTAGTTGAAATGTCTATTTTATGACAAAATCATCTTCTACTCTCAAGACATCCATACATGTACATGCATGTAAATGTTGGTACGTGTATGATATTAAAAGTGTTATCATATTTATATATAATCCGTTCTTCATGTCTTATTTTTATTTACTAGTACTTAATCTCGGAGTCGGTAGTATATAGGATAACGATTACTACATATCTGAGTATTATCTGTTTTGATTTTCTCAGTAATTGATAATTGTAGCTCTTTAACTACCATATAGAATCCGATGCACTATGTATATTGATATTGCTAATGGTTGTTGGCAGATAATGTGATAAGTGTTTGCTACACTGCGTGTATGAAGAAATTGGGGGAGAAATCGTTATTGTTTTTATATTATCTAGAATCAGCTCTTGGCCTACTGTAATTAATCATTTTCTGCACGCCTATATAATTAATTTTTGATAATTCAAAAGGTAACAGTGGGGAATTACATGTAACCAGAAATTTCGGCTACTCGATTGATCACATATTATTTTATGTTGGGTAACTATTTTAAAGTTTGGATCTAAATGAATTAAAATTCGCTGATTTCTTATAATAATGCTCCATGCATGGTTTAAAATCCTTTTAGGATTTTTATAAACAGTTAATGCAGGCGGCGAGTATCAATAATATTGCGTACATATACAACATGTGCAAGTAATAATCATATAGCAAGTAAACTAAAATAAAGCTAAAAACTTTACAAAATTCTTCCACAATGGATATTGGTGATACTTAGATTTTTTTTAATTCGATATGTTTAAGGACTCTATCTAAATTTAAAAGATCCCAACAATTATAATCTATCTCCTCCTTTGTCACTGATTTGAAATATTTAAACTAGAGTCACATAGCTTTTCCAATTCTGCGCCACCTTTGCATAAAGGACAAATGATACAAACTAATATTTGTCCAAAAATTGAAAATAACAACTTGGGTTATGTCTAAATGAGTATAAAATAAATAATTTCATCGCGTAGATTTTAATTTTTTATTCAAAATCTCACAAAAATGGAATTTGGAGTGAAATATATTTGTATAGATTAATAAGGATGGGTTTAGAAGGGCAGACTTTTGATACACAGAAGGTTTACAATTTCTTAATATTGTAGAAAATTATTATTTGCATCATTTGCAATGGAATTAGGCCAAAAAAAATATACCAATCCAGGCATCCACTTTTTTGTTTGCATCATCTGTCCTTAAGGTGCATTCAAATTCAGTAAAAATCACAGCATCAGTTTGCCCGGAATACACTTAGAACCCTTGGTCGTTCACAGAAATGAAACGTTTAACAATAAACATGATAAATGATGCTTAAGCTTTGTGGCTATCATTCATTATCCGCGAGGTTAAAATGTATTTATTCCGGGAATTTTACGATAAAGTGACCATTCGTTGTTGTGGCATTGCCGACGGTTAATGGAAGCTAGTCCCGAGGAAAATTAAACAGCAGTGAGAGGGGACTATCGATTTTAAATTAAAAACCAAGAAGTGGGACACAGACTTTCCTCGGGAGGATAACGACAGTGAAGACTTCAACATATTGTCAGTTGTAGATTTTCATTAATGGTGTATTCCGTCCTCATCCATTAATTATAATCACATACACGTACACCCTTATTTATATACAATGCATATTTATTCTTTGCTATTATAAATTATTATTTTATCATGATGGAATCGTGCGTGCTAATCATCACAGTAATCAGTTTTTATTGAGAAATCAACAAATAACCTTCACGACGCGCTTTTCTCCCCCCTCTAAATTATAATTCTTAAGCATGTTTATTGTTAGCTAAGGCAATCCTATTGTTTTGAAAGCATTAGCTAGTCTTCTTGGTTTTTTAAGCGCTTCATTAACATTGTATAATGTAATAAAGACATTGGTAAAATCGATTGTCTTTGCCGGAAATAGTGTAATCCTGTTATTCGGAGTTATACAATGGAATTGTGGCCAGATATTTTTCATTGAGAAGTTCATATAATCTTGTTTTTAATTACACACTTCTATTTTTCTTCTTTGAAATCAAGAACCATTGATTGAAATATGATTTAAAAAGATGATTTTCTAATTTCAAGTTCTTACATGCAGATTTAATATGTATATCAGAGTTTTAAATATAAAGAGAGAGAGAGAGAAGGGATATATGTATTCTGAATGTTAACAAATATTCTAACGTAACACTTCAAAACAAATCTTGGTATAGTCCAGTCTTTAAAGAAAATTACATTTCTTTACTTTATCACTTATTGGTTTATGCTTCTTAACTAACCTTTTCATCTACTTTGTGTAGGATACGGTACTCGAGCTTTTTCTTGAAATTATAGAAGCGAAAATTAATATGTTATTCTAAATGCCTTTTGTTGAATTTATACTAAATAAGGTTACAAATGATTTTCAAAACTGCAGGAAAAAAAACAGTATTACAGTTTTAATAAACTATTTTTTTTCAAGCCCTCTTCTGCTAACTTTTAAAAGGAAATATTGGATAGATTATTGTCATGTAAATTTTAAACTTAGAAGTTGCCACCCGGTAAATTCAAAATTTACATTATACAGGACGCCATTTTGAATTGCAGTGTTCCCCACCTGTTGAATCTCGGCATCTGAAAGTACAACATGCAAACATTTTCAAATATATATGGAAATAAAGAACCTCATTACATGTAATAAGTTGTCATTAGGAGTTTAATATTGTATTAACAATTGGTTGAAAGACAGTTTGTACCTCGCAATATATTTATAGTATGTTGTTTAAAAATTTTGAAATTACTGTACTAGATCAAGGTAAGAGTGCAAATTATCAAATTTAAAAATTTGCATTTTTATTCCAAGTAAATTCAAAATTTACACGACATGATAACAATGTGTCTGAATCACATGTAAAGTGATTGATACCGGTATTGAAAATCTTTTTAAAGTCTTCAAAACTTAATTCCAATAGAGAACTTGAATAGATAAATGTTTTAATTACCAACATTTTGTTTTATGTAAAATTGAACGTGTTCGGTGGGAAGTTGTTTATATACGTGAGATTCTACATCGCATCCATGTTCAATTACCAAGGAGTCATTCCTCCATATTGAATTTAGTTCAAGTGCCGCGAATTCATTATGATTTACTCTATCTCGAGGCGTGTAATTCATCTTTGTTTAACATTCTCTTTTTTAACGAAACGGAAATATTTGCATACAGGTATAACAATTTAATTAGAAATCCGTGACTCACGCATTCAGCGATAAATGCAAAAAAAAGCATGGAAAAAGCCTTTGAAACTGAAAAACTACTCACTGAATGGAGCAGCTATGCGTACAAGTATATATACAAGTTTATATATCATCTCTAGACTTCCATTGATCGTTAGACTGCGGACTTGGGACGATACCTCGTAAATGTAGCCTGGTTCTAGTAACGGATTATTGATCCGACGGACCC